CTATATTTCCAAATCGTTGAAATTGGAGTATTTAAGTTTTGTGTTGCCACTTTTATAATAAAGTGTCGGATATGCATGTGACCCTGTTTACATAATATAGCCATACTTTATATGTAGTATACTATAGTTATACTTCTATTGTATGAGAATATACACATAAATCTAATAACATCCTTCATATTAACACATTGATTAATTTAGAACATTTGTTGTAATTACTTTTGGGAATTTTCGCAAAGTTAGGTCACTTACTCTCACTCAGGGTTAAATCAGATTCATTTCTTACCAGTTCCGCGCGATCGTTATATCCCAAAAGCTACTGAAACCGAATCATGATGGTTATTTACGCGTTATAGTTCATGCTGTTTTATGTGCGACTCGGAGCAATTCAGGTCTATATAATCGGGAAGTGCAGCTTTGGGATAGTGTATTCAACATACCTAAGTTTTGAAATATAAACAATAATCAAAACAATAAGTCCGTTTTGGATCAATGTGAGATTTATGCCCAACATTAGCTTGCTGAAGCTTAGACTACGTTGAATGAAATTGAATTTTTCTGCGATGGCAAATTTTCTGTTAATGTAATACAATATTTGCTAAAATCGATACTTCATAATAACAGTGGTAAATTAAATTATCAACAACAACATTCTGTATTTTCATAACGATTTATAATTTCAAATTTTTCCTAAGAATCTCAATGAGGTGAAGAGCACTGTCAACAACATAACTTCAAAGTCAAACAGAAGAATATAGGAGTAGTACATTTAAATAGTTTTAGTGTTTATTTAACCATTAAATAGCGCATAAGAGGATGAGAACCTACCGGTATGGAATAAATTGCCAGCATTAGTTGTCATATGAGCGCCATCCCCAACAGAAAGGCCACCAAATCTGTTACGCTACAATGAGCAGGGATTAAATTTAGAGAAATTTTTATCACACGCTGCCAAGTTTGAAGTAACAACTTACAATTACTGTCCCAAGCTTTGAAAAGCTTAATTTATCCATTAATATATGGGCTATTATACTGTTCGAGGCCGATGTGTTGTTTCCCAAGTTGTTTACAAGAAATGCCGGTTTTGAAAACTTCAAAAAATACTCGTTTTCGGTCCTTAAACTGACACAAATAAAGCCGTCCGACGCCGGATAGTCTTCATTAGAGCGGGTGTGTGCTCGGTGACTCAACAGGGGGCAATTTTTACAATGAAATTTCGACTGGACTGAGGCATTTTTATTAATTTGAAAAATCTAATGAAAAAATTAATATGCCTAATCGGCAACACGTTGCTTCGACCTGCAAGTGATTTTAGCGACGAACTTTTCCTTTTTGAGGAATTTAAAACGAGAAACAAAAATAGAAGCGGAAAGGCTTCATTGTTCACGAATACTGTATATTTATTTACACATTTAGTACATATACGCTTGGTATGATGAATTTTGCAAAAATATTCTCGAGCGAATGAAATGAGAAACACAATATAATTTTTAAATAATTTACATTATTTTAATAGGTTGTTACTGCAGAAAATTACTGTAAATACATATTCTAGTAAAATATATGCATATTAATATCTAACTGGAGTTATATGGGCAAATATAAGTATTTGAAATTTTTTTTTTGCAAATATGCGATTCAATATCATTCTTTTTACTCATATCCAGCCCAGTACAGAGTCACAAATGGTCTTCAATGCGTTGTTCCTTCATTTCTCAATTGAAAACAAACACACGGATCAAAATTGTAGTTGCAACTATGCGATTGCCTGTTGTAAGGTTGACCGCGAGACCATCCCTAAAGTTCTTGTTAATTTGGCAAAAACGTCCACTCTACAATATACTTCCAGCTCACTCTCCGCACTCTGTTCATCTTTGGGGCCGGACCATCGATATCAGAATTCATTCATGATAATGTCACTCTTTCAATGATGCTGTTATGTGAAGGATGCTCACCTCAGAGCAAAGACAAGCGACAAACCCAATAGTGATCGTAATCATCGCTAAGTGTTTTACCCTAATCACATGAACTATCGACTACATCACGCATATTCAAGTTGAACTATGTCAATTTCAATCACCGTTTAAGCTGTATGACTTCAATCGTTATGGGTGATTTTGCATAATGCTGAAGGATGACTAAAAATCAACGGGTTCAAATTTCATCGACGCGAAATTTTGTAAACTCGAAAATCATTGAATGTTGTTTTAACGAAAATCTCTCCGAGCTTTTGATGCATGGCCTATTGAGTTCGCTGGCAGTAATGGATGGATTTAGATGTTAGCTGACGATATACAAGGTTGACAGAAATGCACCCGCGAGTACCAGTTCACAGAGTTGAATTTACTAGCCACAGACTCGATCAACCTTTGACTGACACTACAGATAATTAATATTTTTTTACACATTTTTAGGCAATTTTTTGTTCAGGGCTGCCCGAGCTAGAATAGACGATAAATAGTGCAGAAGGGGGTTCATTGTAAACCCGAAATTGGGTCGGATTTGAAGTTTATGAAAACCGAGCTTCTGAAGTATCGAAATATTGTTTTGCTCATCATTAAGTGATTGTATTTCGTTTGGGTGGTGTTCGCTCCAAACTTGGCGCTGAGACAAACAGCCCCTTTAAGGTAGGGAATTTCGCTGATTGAAAAAACGACAAATTCTTCTTCTTCGGCCAGTCTTCATAATTGTGAATCGTGCTATACCTGATCTTGACTCGATAAAACACTTATTAGACATTTGCTACAGCTTTTGAGCAAGTGTTAAATAAAAAGGTCATATATATATATCAATGCTATATAATGATATAAATTTATTTGAAACTTACTTAATTACTCTGTCAACCTAAGAAACCAACAAATTTGCTTCACTTTCACATTCCGGATAAGCTGGTTCATACTAAAAGTAGATGAAAAAGGAGATTCATCAAAAATTCACCATACCAACAGACTACGGCTTGAGATTAGTGATTGAGGGGTCTGCCCCATTGAGTCAAACACAGCCAACTGGGTCGCAACATTTGATACCCGTATGACAATGTCGTCAATATAATCAATGGTTAATTCAACTTGCTACAAATGGTGACCCAAATTTTTGAAGCGATGTCTTATTTTTGAACTATTTTTTCATGACTTTTTAAACACACGACTGAGAAATTACTCAAGTTTACAAAACAAATGAATTTATGTTAATGTTTATATATTTTCTCATAATACAATACTTCTGTAATAGGTGGCTTAAAATTCTGTTTGGAGAAAGAAAACGTGAATTATGTTGGCGGAATACGACGACCGTTAGCTGTAAATATTCTTCCTACGTAGTATAAAAACGATAACTGACAATTAACAAAAACGCAATACATGATTTATGAATCAATATTGTGATCATTCCCAGAAATTTCAACGAAATTATCGGCTCAGAATACTTTGAATCCGAAGAGATAGATTAAAGCCGAAGTACCTTGCTCGCCTTATACACGAAAAAAACTTAACTTATACGCTGAAGATATATTAAATTACTATTTATAGGAAAACTGTTCAAATGGATGCCTCCACATTTTAGCCGTGAGAGTGTCGAATGAATTCACATTCTTAGATATTTGCGAATAAATATCAACTCCCGATCCCTAATAATTTTTTAAATATGTCCCCTTACCCACGAGAAAGTTGGAGCTACAAACCATTAGTCATGCTCACATTGAATGAATAATGTAATATAAAAGTTACCATGATAAAACCATATTCATTTCTCATAAAGGTCCTCATTTGAAGAACAACAATACATTGCGACAGATAATTCTTAGAATATTTTTAATTTATCGTATGAAAGTATGAACGAACACGCTGTTCTTTTAATTTGTAAGGTTAAAGGTCAACATTCCTACAACAATAGTTTATAATTTGGAATTTGAAATATGCTTTGTAGCTCATAATCAAAATAGAATTCAAGGATTTCTTGATTCATGTATTAAGAGTTTCATTCAATCCAAAACCTGAATTGTTGGACAGATTTGACATAATTAATAATAATCAAACGGCATTTCTTCACATTGTAATATCAATATCGGTTTTAAAATATCGTTTTTATATTGTCGTTCATAACGAACCACTCTTTGAGTTCAAATAATTTCGTGATCAATGTGCCCATGAACTACTTCGTGTAATGCAGCGAAAGGCACTCGAAGCAAATTTTCGTCTCTATTTGCAGAATGGAGACAGATTTTTTTTATTTCGATACCATGACATTTCAATAGCGTTTTAAAACCATATATTTTACGTCATGCCACAAGTTTCGACTGCATACCCGCGTAGCAGAACAAAACAAATTAACGATGCGATACTAATTTCTCAATGATCGTGGATTATTCGGTTGTCCCTTTTGTCGTATTGGTAATTAAGATAGAGAAGTATAATACATACTCTCTCTCATCTTTCACACGGGAAATTCGCTTCTTACAGTCATTGGTATCAAACTATTTGAAAACTATATTCCATGCACCACAACCCACTAAGCATGGTGTCAAATCTCTCTAATGAAAGATGATAAATTTGTTAAAATGAAGTTAAATTCCCCCCGCGCTAATACGTGTCAATAGCGTTCTATTCGTATTAATTGCTGGACTTATTCAGTAAATGAGTCGCATTATATAAATCGGATTATATCGGGAACGTGCGAAGTATATTATACTTGTCTGGACCTAAGTTCAGCACCCCATTTACAGATTGATGAGGCGTAAAATAACGAAGGTGCAATTTTACGCTGTAGGTTTGCGTGAAACTTCGTTATCTGAAACTCAAAGACAAAGATTTACCGATATTTCGACACTTTTTCACCAGAACGACATTTCTACCAACTATCCATTTCTTAGCGTTGCGAGATTGCTCTAAAACCTAATGTGCTTGGGATATGACCGCCTAACACCGTTTCAAGGGGCCAATAACAATCCATTTTTCAACTTTGCGCTTCTCATGATAAGATTCAAACATCAAAGTACACAAATATACTTGGAAATCTGATTTATTGCCTCACGCAAAAATAAAATCAAAAAGAAACAAAAGATAGAATAAAAACGGTATTGGGAATAGGAAAAATAGGTAAAACAAGATAAAAGTAATACCACAGTTATCAACGCAAATAGGAAAATTAAATAATAAGGAACTCGTCTTACCAGATTCATTTTTTTTAAAAATCTGATTGTTAAATTTTGGTCTTTCTCACAAATCCATTATAATTGCACCGTGGAAATCGTAAACATTCAAACATTTTCACTTACAAAACTATTTGTAACCTGTCCCGTATATAAAATATTCCAAATTAGCCTAACGAAATACATTGTGAGTTCAAATATTTTAAAAAGTAACTAATTTAAACAAATTACGTTATAAAGTTTGAATAATGAAGTAACAATCACGGAATTTATTATTTTTAAAACCAGAATGTACTGCACGTTCGTAACGAGGCAGTGTGCAAAAATTTTGCCACGCATTGCTAAAAAGGAAGATTGTGTTTGAGTTTCAGAAAATTGAATATTTCGTCAATTTCTTCGAATTCAGTATGATGTTCAATCTAAACGTTCAGACATCTTTCTTCTGCTGCGATGACAGACGAGCATGTATCATCTTGAGAAATAGATGAAGAATCACTTTCAGAATACTGATCATCTTCTACACATGGAGAACGATCACGGATGAAGGATTCTTCTTGGACGTATCTTTCATTAAATATTTGACCTCTGACATCAGGAGAACAACAAACAGATTGTTCCATTTCGTCGTCTGAACAAACTTTTAATAAAGATGAATGTCGAATAAATTTGTTTAAGTCTGAAACGATTTTAGCAAAAGTTGGACGCTTCTTCGGATCAAGAGACCAACATTCTAACATTAGTTGGTGAAGGGCTTTTGGACAGTTTGTAGGAGCCGGAAGTCGCATTCCACTTCCTATGCTTTGCATGACGTCATTGTTGGTCATATCCCAGTAAGGTTTTTCCCCATAAGACATAACTTCCCACATCATAATTCCAAAACTCCAAACGTCACTTGCTGATGTAAATTCCCTGAAACGTATACATTCGGGAGCCGTCCAACGTAACGCGATTTTTCCACCTTGCGTTGTATAAGTTGCATAAGGATCGTTTTCGAGAGTGCGAGAGAGTCCGAAATCTGATACTTTGCAAACGAAATCTGAATCGACCAATATATTTCTGGCTGCCAAGTCACGATGAACGAACTGCATATCAGAAAGGTAACGCATTCCATTTGCAATTCCGCGGAGCATTTGAAGCAATTGAGGCATTGTTAGTTGTCGGTGATGACGCTGTAACAAAGGGAAAACACAATTAATGAAAATGCCAATGAAAAGGAGATTACCAGATGCATATTAAATACCGCTGAAAGTATACTAATTGAGTCACAATTATTGGTTTTACTTGACACTTGTTCTTGTCAAAGTAACTATTGCTATTTCAACAAAATTGCATGATAATATTTACCTTCAAAAATTGGTGCAAAGATCCATTTTCTAAGTGCTCTGAAATGATCATTTCTGGTTTGTCTAAAGTTAAAGATAAAGTTTGATTAAGTTGTTATGATAAATATAAATAACTTAAAATATAAAATAGGGAGTTTAGGTGGGGCATGACTGGATTCATTGTAACATGCATAAAATAAAAAAGAACCTAAAAATGCTTATATAAATCAAAAATATAATCAAGATGTGTACAATTCATCCCTTAATATTACGAAGTATTATGACATATAAAATATACATACGTTGTGTAACAACGCCTTTCAGTTGCAATATGTTAGGATGATTGAACTGTGCCATTGTACAAGCTTCTCTCAAAAAATTTGACTGATCTTTAGCTGATGATCCTTCTTTCAATTGCTTTGCTGCAACTGTCTTCAATTCTCCACCTTCCATCATGGTTGCTCGATAAACAACAGCAAATTCACCTTCACCGATCGTGTCATGCAAACGTAGATTCAAAGGACTAATTTCTTTGTTCATTTGTTGGACTGCTTGAAGTGGATCCGGATAATCAACGTAGGATTTTTGACCTGAAAATAAGAATATTGTTTGGGTAAATACTTCGGATAGCAGTGACTATTCCAGTAAATGATGCAATTGAGAAGTTCATTAATGATCACATTTCATTTAGAGTTGAATCAATTCGACTTATTATTTTCTTACCTTTGTTCACTTGATTTCTTCTCATGTTAACAATTTCCTGATTTAATTTTTCCGAAACATCGTCGTATTTTCCAATTCCATTTGAATTTTTCTTTTCTTTTCCAAGGTTTGAGTTGTTGTAACTTTTTCTTCTTCTACTGTACACAAACACCAGAACCGAGCAGACGATTGCCAATACAAGAATGGTTGAAACAGCTGCAATCAGGATTCCTGTTCCATTTTCATTGCCAGATTCAATATCAACTGTAAGGAGAATTTAATATTTTGTTATTGATGATAAATTTTAATAAATAAATACATTTTATTATGAACATTTAAAATTCTTACCTGCTTTACTTTTAGAAGTTTTGAACACAACTGAAGCACTGTATCGACCGAAACCCACAGAAGTTTTTGCTCGAATTTGAACCAAGTATTCCGTGTTAGAATCCAAGTCCGAAAGCGTACAACTTGTCTTTGTAGTCTGTAGAAAATATTATTATGACATCATAATGTTATGATATGCGACAACGATCAGCGATTATACAACCAACAAGTGGAAAAAATCATTTTGGCTATAGGTTTATACAATTCAATTTACCTCTAACACAATTGGATCTGATGGTTTCCCATTTTTCAAAACAATTTTACTCGATCTTGTGATTCTTGAGTCTTGATCTCGACGTTGAACTTGCACTTGATAACCTAAGATATTTCCCCTTGGCTGTGATGGAACTTGCCAATTGATCATCACTGAATTTATAGATGTATCCGCAACATAAATGTTTGCCACGGGTGCTGGAACTGCAAAAGAAAAAAAAAGGTTTTATGAAAAAAGTACAATTCAATTTTAAATAAATTTAGTGACGTTTTTATGTCACGATTGGTAAACCATAAGAGTTTACAAAATAAAAGTTGATTTTTACTGGTGAGATTTTATCCCGATAATCATAAATTTTAACACAAACCTGATTCCTTCGTTGTTAATTCCATTAGGAGAAAAGTAGGTTTGGAGTCGCTTGAACTTGACAATCCATTATAGGAGTATATCTGTAACAGGAATTTTAAAAATTTAGTTCAAAATACTTTGATTTTATCAAAACTGATATTTTATTTTGGATGAGTAATAGATAAACTTACTTTGAATAAGTAGCGAGTAAACGGCTCCAAATTAATAACGTGAATTTTGTTTTTGTAATACTTTGATAAGCTTGATAATGAAACACTGTTGTCTTTGTGGTTGATTAATGAATCTGAATAAGACACCTTCTCAGGACATTTCTGACATGAACTTTCCGAACATGTTTCGCACAGGATGCTAAAAAGAAGGTAAATCGTCATTAATAAAAGGCTAGAAGACTTGTTTTAAGCGACAATGGTGCGCCTGATTTAAAGTACATCCAAAGTGTAGATTTTACCTGTAGTAAAGATCGTTTCTTCCACCTAATTCCGCAGGTGTCTTCCATGCCAAAGTAGCAGTTGTGGCATTTGCTTCCATTGATTCAAATCTCGGTACAGATGGTAATTCTGAAAATAACAATATACAAAGTTATATAAATGAAACGAATTTTGACAAATTTCGTGATTATCAAATAAATTCCAACACAAATATGTTTGGAATCCAATTAATTCTTCTGAAACAAAACAATGTGTATTAAGTTACTTTAAATATGGAATACTGGGAGACAAAAAGGACCACCAGACACGCTGAAACACAAAAGACGGCAAAGTACAAAACATAATGAACAATGTGGTCCAAACTATTTCCCAACGCATATGTTCCAATGGACTGATTTAGCACCTCTCGAAATACAATATATTATAACTGGAATTTAATTTTAACCCTTTACTGATGGCTTAAATGAAAGGAAATTTCAATGTGAAATCAATCAATGCTTTCGTGCGTATAAACTTGTTAAACTTCCCTAAAACAATGCAACAAGCACGGAATTCGAAATATTCCTTGTAAATTTATGTCACTATTCATAATCAGAAATTTTTTGAAATGTTATATATGGGAAATCAACCCTTTGCTATTTGCAAAGTTCACATCGTGTGTCATTTTGCACGGATGCCAAGAATATAGGTTACATGGACACTCACTCATTTGGCAAAATGTTTGTTTCGGCAAAAACAGATCTCCCAACAGTGTACATTGGGGTTCATAACAATGCAAGCGGTTTGTTTAACCTGATAACAATTATGATTAATTTCACTTACTGCTACATGGGTGGCTTGAACTTTCTTCTTTTGCTCTCGCAAATCCCGGATGGCAAGGGCAAGCTTCCGCACTTGGAGGCGCAGTTTTGGTCACCGATCTTGTTATGTCGTCTCTTGTTATCAATTTGTCACTAATCGGTCCACTGTTAGCTGGACATTTAAGGCATCTTCCATTGCCTGATCTGGATTTAAAGGTTCCGATTGGGCATGCTGAAAAAAAATTACTAATGTTTAGTTATATGAATTTTAACGATAAAAATGCGAGACGTTTCATTGGTGAAAAATGTGAACTTACGAAGACATGCTGTTGCGTCCGAATTCGGTTGATAACCGGCCATACATCTGCAGTTTCCAGTAATGATTTGCCATTCTCCTGTACTTCCACAATAATGCTTTGGAGCTAAAATGTAGAAATTATGGTTATGGAACGAAAGTGACAGAATAAATCCAATTAACCTCTAGTAAAATACTCACCATAACCACCGACCGATTCTGCATTTGCAACGCATGTGCCTGGAACAGTAACGAGAGATGAAGTCTTTTTTCCTGTCATAGTACGTTCAAATGTTGCTAAGGAACGAGTAGTTTCAACGCAGTAATAGTAGTATACTCTAAGACTGATAAGAGACATGCATGCTCCTTGATCTTGTGCGGCAACGTATATACCCCCAGTGCTAAAATTAAATAATTTTTATTATTTTAATTTCTTACTTTATGATTTGAAAAATAACAATAAAAGAATCACAACGATTCTGTCAAACTTACCTTTTCAATGGTCCAATGGAAAAAATCTTTTTATTGATTTCGTCGTTCGAATTCGCAGCAACAGTGTCGATTTTGATGTAAGGTTTTTCCTGCCAAGGTGGAAAAGTACTCGAGGCTACATCTCGATGACTTTCGTAATAGAACAAATTGAATGTTTGACGACAGTAATCTAGATCCACTCCTGGCCAATCACATTTTGCAATAGAAAATTCAATTTCTATATTGATTCTTTGAGCTCCTCTGAAAAATATAAAAAATGAACATTTAGATTTTTAGTATATTAGTTTTGGATATAAATTCATTCCAATAAAAAAATGTTTCAAACCTTATGTCAATGAATGGCGATCGTATCCAGTTGTTATTTTCTTGTCTACTGACTTGACATACTTGATATGAACGGATTATGTTGTTGAATTTGTCAAAACCGCTGACTTCCTCCCACTGAAACAATGAATTCATTATTTATTTTTATTAAATAATGCAGTCTCAGAAATGAACCATTATCAATGTATTTTTCAACGGCCGTGCTTGGGAAAACGTGTCTTGGTTAAATATGTCGTTACTTACCGAGTTTCTTGGTTCTATGGTCCATCTAAGATCACTTGTTGCTATTTTCGTATTGTACAGATCATCTAAAAAAAAAGTTGAAAAATCCAATCAATCAAGCTCTTGTGTAATTCAGGGCCTAAACAGCTAAAAAATAAAACTTAATTAGTCCCTCGATACCAAGAATTTTACGCTGATTTATGTTCTTTCACACCAATCCAACCTCGAATAAAAGAAAATTAATGAACCAGTACTAATTTGTCGTTAAAAGGGGATTGTTCATTTATTCACTACTGTTTTGTTAAGTTTGGAATTTGGGAAAGAATTAAAATTAGAACAGCAGATTCGCTCCAGTAACTTCACATGGTAACGGAAATATAATATCTAAAACTTTTATTTGTAAAATTCGCCATGACTTAGATTTAAAATTATTTAAAAAATTTTGACTGCGAAAGTTAATCTCTAATTAATGATTAGGTCTCTAAGAAGGAAATTAATTAAAATTCCCTGAATGAGGCATAATCACCAATCCGTGCTAATGGAAATCTATCCCCCTAAGAAATAGCAGGATTTATTCATTCATTGAATCGCATTATATAAATCGGATTATACCGGGAACGTGCGAAATATAATGCACTTGTCTGGACCCGCAGGTAACAAGCTTTGAGTGAGTGCGAGTGTGATCGTTTACAGACAACTAATCAGCTTGACAAAGTCACCATAGGTGCAATTTCTCACCAATTTTTGACAACGAAATATTGTACCTTGATTTCAATCAAAACATAATGGCTAATATCTGGCAACGGTGGTAAACGTATATCGAATGTTATGAACGATTTTCCCATCACCTAAAACTATTTTGGTATTTATATTCACAAATTAACGGAGCTATTTTATACTAACTTTTAACTAATTTTTGCGTTGTGCAATCTATATGCGTAATGCCTACATGGTACAAAATATATATAAAATACTACAAATAACTTACATATTGCTGCATCTGTTTGTTGAATGTATATCCACAATAAAAATATCCAAGTTACGAACATTTTTGCATCCACCATAGAAGGCAATCGAATGATATTATTCCAAGCAAGTCTGAATATATTGATACTAACAAGAATATTGCTTCACAAATAAGTCCCAATAACACTTGAAGTATATTATTATATATCTAGAGAAAATCAAATATTTGTTAATATAAAATGTAATATTCCTGAAACGTTTGATCTCACTGTTTGTATGTAAAATACAGGTAAATCCACATCCCCTGTCTTTGCTACATATTAACTAATATGGCTCCTAATATTACCACTTCCTCAAATATAAAGCGTAACCAATGCCCGCCAAGCCACACTACATTCTCTGATGTTGAAACGACTGCGCTGTGGATTCGAATGTATGACCTTTTTCTCTCGACAGCAGTTCAAATACTCTACAGGAAACTCTTATAACACTAATCGACATAAATCCCCGACCCCCATCTGTGATTCGTCGTCAAGCATGCGACCTTCGAAATCCATACCCTGAGGGCTAATGGGACTGTCTTATCCTCGGAGATAAGTCTTACAAATGAAGAAACTTAGTATCGTATCTCGATATTGTTGCGAATTTCGATAACGAAAGAAAAAAGTTCCCTTTGTTCCGGATCATCGGTGCGAGATCGCACCTTCTCCGCGATAAGGCTTTGTTTTCCGTTGCAACACTCGCTGTCGTGATTGTTTCAACTTTCAAATCTTATCAATGGAAAGCAAAAGTTACCACCAGCTGAAACAAAAGGGGTTACAGATTTGGTAACCTGTTTCTAATTATTAATAATACGACAAAATACTTTGAAATTCAAATGATTGGAAACATAATTATAATTTACGCACGCAGATGGTGTACAAAGAGTGCATATGCATACTAAATGCATCATGGCGACTAGCCTGATTAGAAAATAAATAATGCACGCATGCCAAAAAACCTGGCTTTGAAAATGATCAGATATGAATATAGTTTAAAGTTATTTTGTGCGAAATAACATTGTAATTATTTTGAGCTATTTTATTCTTAAATCTAGGAATCTTCTTTTACGTTCTTCCAATTGGTTTATTCCAGCACAATCTGTTGTTTGCAACTTGATATTTTCAAGGCACTAATAACCTATATATTTTATTCCCAAGTCTAACCCCAATATACTAAATCTGCATATTCGATATCAACGAACGTTTACAAAATATAAAATCGTTTTCCTGTTCTCCGTTGACCATATTGAGAGTAATATAATCCATCTGTTGCGTTTCACACTATATATTTCAGCATCAGCTTTCTAAAACAAACAAATGAGTTACAAAGTAAACATAAATCTATGCATTCCGTCTTATCAGCCCGTGCGTGCGGCGAGTCTCATGTTCTTATCATAAGACCAATGTCAATGCAAGTCGGCCATGTGCTAACATCCCTTATCAGCAGAGATATTCAACACACGCGGAAACAGGCTTCAAAGTAAATATATCTAGCAACCAACGCGACGTTCCTGCCTGAGTGCTTTCGCGAAATTCAAGCATTTGAGTAAATAAAATAGCTTCGGCTTCTTGAGTTACTGTTTAAATTAAAGGGAGACGAAATACCAGAAACAGAATTTGACAATGGACGCCGGTAAAATTCCTCTTCATAATGTACCTACGCGAATAAGGTTTGTAAATATATATCCCCTCGTAAGTTCAGAACTTACCTAACAAATTTTATACTGTCAATCAATTGTCTCAAAATATTCAATCATATATTAGTGGTTTATTTCAAATGAGACTTCAGAAGGATAAAAGATATTGAGAATAAAGACGCAAACTAGCAATATTAAAACGAATGCTATCACAAATCTTCCTGTAGAAATTGTGCCTCAAAAATTATACCACATACTTCACATCTTACGTATGCACAGCTTATGAGCTATGCGGAAAATGCCACTTGTTACTGATCTGAATGCCAAGCTCAGTATGTTTCGTCGATTTCGTGGTGTTGAATTTCAACATCAAAAACGAAATTTTGTAGTATCAAAATTTGTTGTTTTTTTCAGAAACATTAGACGATAATTTATTTCACCTTGTGACAAACAAATTGAAATTACGCACGAGGCAAGTAAACTATATCAAATGTCAGAGTTTTTATGAGAACATCGATTCGAGTTTTCAAGTATTTTTGAACATTAAATGATTAAAATTTGGCTAGTTTATAAGATGATACAGCACTCTCTAGTCACACCTTCCTGTTATAGCTATGTCCATTGGCTTATGTACAATACAGGTATGTGGATAATTAATTAGCCAGTGGATATGCGTTTTTAATTGTATTCTTGATATTCCGTGTTTCACAATTTAGAGCAGACATCGATGAGTCATTGGGATAATGTGAGTTCCTTTGTAAACGAATCTTTTAGTTGCTACATGGTTCTTGATACATTGAATTGCTCAAGGAAAAGTTTATTCGTCTTGACATACAGTCACTCTGCTTTGAAGCTTAAAAGTTTATATTTATATAGTCTTCATAAGTGGCAAGTAGAAATGCCGCCTATTTGTACCAACAGACTGACTTGCAAGCATATGCATCGGGAAATTTTTAGCAGTCGAAATATATTTTGCATAATTTATTTATAATCAAAATGTATTGTTATACGATCACAAACCAAGTGGGTAAATACCTTTTCCAAGCATAGGTTATACATGGACCGCGGCTCGACGGCGCGATCCATGTATAACCCATACTTGGTAAATTATGGAACAATCATTTATCATAATTGAGAATGAATGAATTATAATAGCAATTTCAAATCGCGACAGATGGGTGATGGTAGGTATAGAAAGGCCGTTCAATTCAATTATATATATAATAAAGTGCGTAACGGGCATAAAGTTGGACACGCCATGCCAATAATGCACCCTTGAGTTGGATACCGGATCTTACAAAAACAACAGAATTTATTCGAGGGTGGCCAAAACCTAAATCAAAAACCAGCCAGAAATATTAATACCTTACTTGTTTTTAACATGAAACGTTCTTGTAATTTTTTTAACGACCGTTATTCAAACTTTTCTTACTAAAAACTGGCTAAGATATTTTTGAGTAGTCAGGACGCGACATAATGACTCTTATATGGTCTTGGAAGTGTATCGGGTTACCACAAAACAAGGAAAGTTTGAAAATTACCTTTCTGTGGTTGTTTTCTTAGCAAATAATTTTCGTATAAGTAATGTTATCTGTGCTATGAATCAATATAGGAAAATACCTCAGTATTTGCAGCTGTGTGGTGAACTTGTCAAAGCATTTCAAAGATAAAATTTTATGAATATATCATCGACTTGGTCACTGTAACAAAGATAGTCCAAATTTACTAAACATTTACTGTAATTCGATGTATGGCCTATTAATTGAAATCGAAAGTAATGAATAATAAGTAATAGAATATTACTATGTTATGGATTACGATTTTTGATTACTGGAAACCAAAATAAATAATTTTGTGAAGTAATGGAATTGCCATGTAACAGTACGATCTATTTGTCGATTTTGGGACTCCGCTCATGCACTTAATTAAACGTCGTACATACACCTTTACAATGAGGTGCACGAACGAATCAAATTTTTTTTCGGTCTCACGTGTACATTATATGCTAAATACACTATAAATTATTGTTGGTCTTCAAGAATATCTTACAAAAATATACTTTTTAAACCGCACCGCACCGTTTTAAATCCCCATAAACTTAGTTAGTGGCCTTGCTTTTATTGGGTATTACATTTAAAACCGTAAAATCAATTGTATTTATGCAACTTAAATTTTTTTACTCGTGGCTATAGTCTTTACGAGATTATCAAGGTATGATCCGATATTAGATCCGTTCCGGGTTTATTTAGGAAATCTGGTTAATTTACTATAAATCAGTGAAAGCGATACTGTTCAAATCGATACTCTTTCCGTTCTGATTATTTCGAACACGTTCCTTACATCTTCTGCGTCGGTCAGTGGGTCAAATATAAAATAATATTCTTGAACGGTCAATTAACTACAGATTTGCATAATTGCAGACGACAACTAGTCGCCGGTGGTTAGCGAACAAAAACCGTAATGCGACCTAACACAAAGAAGCAAATTGTATTTATAGAATGTGCCTACTGCTAAAGCCCAAACAAAATCTTTTCATCGAAAAACTTTTTCAATTTGAATGATTGAATTTCGAGTCAAAAAGAAACATAAAAATTTGTAAATTTACATTGTATAGCAATAAATTATAACGCTTATTGGTATTCGATTTAACAACATTTGATGAAACAAATGGAATTTCAAACTTTTTTTTAAAATAATTTTCAAAGTATATATATATCTGATTTCTACCAATTAGCTATGGGTAGATCGAATTTCAGGCGAGTGCCAAAATTTTGTGATATCATCATAATCTGTTTTTGCCATTTTCCTATTTCAACAGGTTTCTAATCACAAAATTACAATTACAAAATTTATCATAGGACTTACTAGCATTTCATTGTAATATAAATTTACGCTGTTTCAGTTCTAAACTCATATAGGAAACCGATCGCTAAATTGTAGTTTTAGTCGCTTATTTTGATTTGCCTAATGTAATTTCACGGAAAGCAATTTTGAAACGGATGTTTGTTGAACAATGGAAAATTTCCCCAGTAATGGTTTAATTATTATCATTTTATATTAAGCTTATTTTTATATTCTTTTCTGTATTTTTATAACACACCCGTATAATACTCTCGATCCGATCTTTAAAAAAAGACTGGGAACGTTAATAATAGTGAACAAGGGACCTTTTTTATATTTGTGCTTCAAGGATCGTTAAAAAGCTAAATTATTTTAATCAATAAAAATATTAATTCAATTGTTCAAATACAATGAAGATAAATTATTATATGATTACCGGGAATGTAAAAACAAAGCAATTTAAACGGCAGCTTTATTCCAAAAATTGAACAATGCATCCGTTGAATTCTGAACACAACAATTAAGAGCCATAAAAATGTCAAATTTAAACGCTTTGAAAATCGGATGTTGCTAATTACTCCAAGTTTTGAAAAAAAATGGAACCATGTACTGTTTTGCGTGAATATAGCAAGTAAATGCTGCGGACACTTCAACGTTTTTGTTGGTCAGTATACAAGGTCCACGAATAGTTCCTTCACTCGAGAGTTACTTGAATAGTGGAGGGGCAATGGTACTAAAAGTTTTTCAAAGGTAATTTATCAGAGACACTATACAAAAACGGTAATCTCAGCCGATTTCCAATTTTCTCAAAGATTATATATATGGTTTATGATTTTGTTAAAACGTATCAATCGCACAAATTGATTAGTTAATATATATTTTCTCTCTGATTTTTATCAATTTTCTGTTTTCTAATCTATCAATGTTCAAATGGGTTGTCACTTCAACCTTCTAATGAATTCATTGATCAGAGAGTCGAAAATTTAGAAAGAGTGTCATTTCTAATAGAGGTCAACGTGACGGAAGTTCGCTTGACATCGCTCTGAATATTAAAAGCATGTAATCAATTTGTCAGAGGTCTTTGATGTCACCTGCCAAAATCCTCTGGTTAACGAGTTTTTCTTTGTGATTTCTGTTTTAAATATGCATTGTGTCACATTCTGCAATAATCCAGTATACAATTATGATAATGGAACCGTTACGAATTTATTCGCGCGACATAGTTTCTTGAT